CTCATATTTAGGTCCATTTCAAGTTAATCTTCTGTATACTATGTTATGACAGTCTACAAAATTTGTATCTACAAAGAGTTGTAGTATCATGAAAATACTCATTTATAAAAATTAACTGAAAAGAGCCCAATACAAATTTTTATATATAGGATAGGCTCCACTTGACGATCGAGTTTTAACAGAAACAAACCAATGGATAAAACCCATGACTAGAAAAAAGAACGGAAGGAATGTTTAATTGCTGTTTTTAGCTTGTGCGACCATTGCCTATTTCCTGTTTCTTTTCACTTTTCTGTATTTTTAGTGTTTGCTGTAATAAGCACCAAAGACTGTTATACCAAAAATCAATTAAGATATTTTTAAAAAATCATCTCAGAGGATTTCCAACTCCAGGCAGCCTTCACAGGGCTCTTCAGTGCATAAATGGCCCCTTTAAAGAACCTAAAAGGTGAACATACTACCAAGAATTCACCGTCTCCCCAGCCCGCTCAGTGTGGCTCAACAGTAGGAAGAGATGAAACAAAGAATTTCCAAGGAGAATTCTCCAAAGAGAATGTGAGACTAGCTGAAGCCTCTAGACCAAACCAAACGCAAACCCAAATCCAAATACCACCCTAATAAAAGCGAATTCCAGTCGAGGGAGGCCGGTTGGCCCACTTGGGACCCCACCAAAATGCTGGCCTATACTCCCAGACCTCCGTGGTCACAGACGTGAATGTCAAACAGCTTCTCCACTCACTCCCTCCCCATGGGCGAGGAAAGCTAATGAAATTCTCTCGCTGATGTGCTCACTGTCCTCTGTCTCAAGACACTTGACAAGACAGCCTAAGTCTGCAGCCTCGTGATCAGCCTATGGCCGGCCCAGCCGCCGCTCCATGTGTATGTACTGCTGATGATCTGGCAAGCGGGATTTGCCTCTTGAGCTGCCGCACAGGCCAGACTGGCTGATGGGATTGCCTACAGATGTTTCACGGAGAGGAAGATTACTTCCCTGATTGATGAATAAATAGAGTTGTCAACACCATCTCCATGGTCAGAGGGGACCCCTGAAGTAGAATGTGGCAGGACAGATGTTTCATCTGGGAAGGTGTCCAAGACCCTAAGAAGAGGTGTGTGCTCGGCTGATACAGCAGGCCGGGTGATTCAGCCTCCGAGAAGGAGCTGGGAGGGCGGGCGCACAGTTGGAGCCAACACCACTGGCGAGCATCCCTGGCCCAGACCACCTCCCAAATCGTGCTAAGGGAGTGGGCATGCTGTCTCAATCACAGCCTCCTCTTTGGGCTGTTTTTCCAATGAACAAAAGGTCCCTATCATGAGAAATGCAGTCATCTTCTTAGTCCTTACCTGCCGTGAATCACAAAGAGGGCAGCAGAAATGACACTGTAATCCTCATGCTAAACCTCACAGCTTCCTCCAGAAGGAAGGAAAAGCAGGCACAGTCCCGCTGGGAAGGGGGCAGGGCACCTGGAGGGGGCTACCTTCTTCTCAGGAGCATGCTACTGTGGGTTTTTCCTGGCTGACCTTCCAGAATGAATGAGACAGTAACAATAACTATGATCATAATTGTTTCAGCAACTGGAAGGTGAGCCATCACGACGTGATGCTACACTATATTCCTGACGCACGTGCATCTCACTGAACCCGCACACACACCAGAACGAGCGTGCACAGAATCCCCGTGCAGGGACCAGCAACACTTACTGCCTGGAAACCCCCTCTGGAAGAGTCACGAGAGGATGTATCCCAATGAAGGGGAAAGAGGAATGGGTAAGTGTTTTCATTAAATCCATTTTGCACATGAAAATGCACAAATTCAGAAAGGTAAAGTAACTCGCCAAGGTCACAGAGCAAGGAAGCAGCCAGCTCGGGAACAGAGCCCAGATTGGGCTCATTCCCAAATCCCTGCTCTTAGTGACTGTAATTCTGTGGCCACCAGGAGAGGAGAGGGCCGAGGAGTACACCTGGAACACAAGCAAACAAGTGGTGACGCCTCCCACACGGAAACATGGCGTGCCCAGACACACACCACTTACACCTGGACATGCCCGGTTCCGGCCTCCCCCTTGCACAGCTTGGAGCGTAATGCTAAAAATCTCTTGTGCAGCACTTTCAGACAGGCTATATTCCAGGAGACAGGCAACAGACCATCCATGTCCCACACCCATACACACGCAGACACAACCAGACAGCTGAAACCTAGAGTACTATCCCAAAAAGGGTATTTGGGTATCTGTGGCAAAAGAGGCCCCATCTTACTACCTGCAGAGAAGGAAGAAATCATATGCAGCAGAAGAATCTAGGCTAGTTTTCTCAGAGTTTGCATGCCTTAAAAACATTTTCTAGTAATAACAACCACCAACTTTTTTTACATCCCACTCCACAGCGAACTAGATTTTCCTCGAGGGTAGCAAAGTGGGAAGCTTCAGTGTGTAACGCTAGCCTGGCACATGGTAGGTACTCAATACCTTTTTGTTAAATGATAGCGAATGAACGGACAAAGACAGGATGAAGGGAGAGGCCAACATACGGTAGTAATGGGAAACATAAGCTTTGGGGCTGGACAGTCCTGGGTTTGAATAATAGTTGCCACTTTCTGGGTATCTATTGCTACTGCCTCTCTCTGTCTCACCTCTGTCATTTTCAGAGCGGAGACAAAAATAAATACCAACTTGACAAAAATGGCTGGAAGAACTCAAGGATGTGGTGCTGAGCACCATGCCTGGCACATGCTGGGGTTCAGGGATGAGATCTACCTTTACTTCCAGGGAGAACACTCCAGTCTGCGGGAGAGAGCAAAACACAATATACCTTGCATCTCAGTCTTACAGAGACAAAGGATCACTGTTTTTAGGTGACCATGGAGGCTGGGTCAGGAGCTGCAGGGACCAGCCTTGCAGAGGCAGAGAGGGTGAGGGCTCTGCTCCAGGCGGTTTCTCTGCTGGACCATGATGGAGCTTCCCAGATAGGTTCAGAGGAGACCACTTAGGGAACTGAAGAAAATCAGAACAGGTCCCAAGAGGAGCACCCAAAGGGACCATCATTGATTAGACTTCAAGAAGTGCAGGAAGGGACAGGACATCCTACATGGTCCCAGGGTCAAAATGGAGCTGACAAGCTAAAGCCACAGGAGGTACATTTCAGTGGGAACGAAGTCCCAGAAAGGCTGCTCTTCGCCTGAGGTCATGGCATAGAGCAGGTGCATGGTGGAGCACATGGCCAAATTCAAAACCAGTGGGATGATTCCAATGCCTAGTGCTACACTTCTCGACTGTACAGCAGTATAGGAAGAAGGGAGACTAGGCACTGAAATGACCTCCCACCCCCACCAACCCAACCCCACTGGTAAAGAAAGCCTCATGTGGGTGTGTGTGTGCATGTGCTGGTTCTTGCTTCAAATACTTTTGTAGGATTGAAGGCACAAATAGCCCCAATTCAAAGGTTCTTTCTGTCCCCTACAAAAGCCTAAGCCCACTGGATGGACAAAGCTGGGAGAAGGTAAGAGGCAAAGGCTTGAATGGATAAAGAAGATGTGGTATATGTATGTATACACACAGACACACAGACACACAGACACAGACACACACACACACACACACAGACACACACACACACACACTGGAGTATTATGCAGCCATCAAAAGGAATGAGATCTTGCCATTTGCAACGACATAGATGGAACTGGAGAGTATTATGCTGAGCGAAATAAGTCAATCAGAGAAAGACATGGATCATATGACCTCACTGATAATGAGGAATTCTTAATCTCAGGAAACAAACTGAGGGTTGCTGGAGTGGTGGGGGGTGGGGGGGATGGGGTGGCTGGGTGATAGACTTTCTGGAGGGTATGTGCTATGGTGAGTGCTGTGAATTGTGTAGGACTGTTCAATCACAGACCTGTACCTCTGAAACAAATAACGCCATATATGTTATAAAAAAAAAAAAAGAAGATAGTAGGAAGGGAAAAATGAAGGGGGGCATCGGAGGGGGAGATGAACCATGAGAGACTATGGACTCTGAGAAATAGAGGGGAGGGGGGTGGGGGATGGGTTAGCCTGGTGATGGGTATTAAAGAGGGCACGTTCTGCATGGAGCACTGGGTGTTGTGCGCAAACAATGAATCATGGAACACTGCATCAAAAACTAATGATGTAATGTATGGTGATTAACATAACATAATAAAATAAAATAAAAAAAGGAGGCAAAGGCTTTAAGGATCCTAAAGGAGAGTAGGGAGACCTATCTCCCCCTGGGCTGGGGAAGAAGGGAGATCAGGTGCTGCAGCCTGAGAAAATAGTAAGACACATTCTCAGGAGGAATGGTGGTGTGGGGGTCCTGAGGAGCGAAGACCCCAAACCAGGGCACCCAGTCTGACAAAGATGCCCACAGCCTATATGGGCATGAAAGCAGACAGCCTGCAGACCTCAAGGAACCTCAAAGGATTATCACAGTGAGGGTCGGTGGCAACCAGGAGATGAAAGGCTCAGACCCTGTTTCCTTGGCTATATGCTTCCTGGATCTCTGGGGTCATTTTGGAAGGAGGAATGGCCCCAATGACCAAGAAGGGATTTTCTGTTCATCTGCTCAGATGTGGGCTCAGAGACATATAAAGTTGATTTAAAGCAAATACAGATATTGAAATTCTTTGCAAATCTGTGTTTGAGAACTGAGATTCATACCCAGCAGGACTGCAGGTACCAAACACCATATAAAAGGGTGACAGAAGGGCGCCTGGGTGGCTCAGATGGTTAAGCGTCTGCCTTCGGCTCAGGATCACGATCCCAGGGTCCTGGGATCGAGTCCCTCACTGGGCTCCCTGCTCAGTGGAGAGCCTGCTTCTCCCTCTCCCTCTGCCCCCATCTCGTGCTCTCTCTCTCTCAAATAAATAAATAAAATCTTTAAAAAAAAATGGCAACAGAAACACCTGCTCTCCTCCCCCTCCCCATCCCCCAGGTACCCCCAGATCTGACAGCTGGAGAGCACCTCCCGGGCTCCTGCCTTACCTGGGGAGCAGGTACTTGCGGCTGACACACACAGCAGTCTGGTAGTCCTGGGTCACACATACTTTGTGAGGGCTGCATTTCACCTTCAGGCAGGGGTCTTTGGATGGGTCTAGGGCTGAGGCAATAAGAACGAGAAGAGGGGGGTTAGGACCTCCAGGGAAATTTAATTTCTCTTTCTACTCAAACAAGTGGGAAATAAGCAGACCATGTGTTTGCACTCCGTGCTGTTTTCTTAGGCTGATGGGGATCACAATGAATCCCCAAACCAGGGGGAATTCTGTGTCTGGGCACATGTTCTTCTTTAACACCAGGATAGTGATTCCTTTGTGCTTTGGGGAGTTTCAGCATCTCCATCTCGGGCAGGAATTACTTTAAAACTCCTTTAGAATCTTACATGCTTCAAGGACCAAGAGCTACTTTTCCCTCTTTGGTTATTTGGCTACAACTGCTTTTTATGACTTCATCCATGCCTACCTTTACTTATTTCCTACAACGTAGAGAAGTCCTTGAGGATAGAGTTTTTTGGCTCCAGTTCAATCAACATGGACTGTGTGCATCAATAAGCTTATTTTAAATTTTGTGACTAACGTGAGGATGCGCGAGACCATTCTATACCACACCAAGTTCTGATATGATAAGGAGGGGGATAAGCTGACACATAAATATTTATTGTGCAAGGCGGGAGGAGATAAGGGTCCTGACGGGCATATAAAATGATAACAGAGCTCGAGAGAAAAATAGAGATCAATTTCTGGGGCATGGATTAATGAAGCATTAATATGTGAACTGGATCGGGGCGCCTGGGTGGCTCAGTCGTTAAGCGTCTGCCTTCGGCTCAGGTCATGATCCCAGGGTCCTGGGATCGAGCCCCACATCAGGCTCCCTGCTCCACGGGAAGCCTGCTTCTCCCTCTCCCACTCCCCCTGCTTGTGTTCCCTCTCTCACTGTGTCTCTCTCTGTGTCAAATAAATAAATAAAATCTTAAAATAAAAAATATGTGAACTGGATCTTGAAGGAGGGGCAGAATGCGGGGGTAATCGAGGCACGAAGACCAGCACACGCCAGCGCAGGGAGGCACATCTGGGCCATTGAAAGACACTCCATCGGATGAGTGAGTGTGGCCTGCAGGTGGGAATGACGGGGGTCAGGGAGGGGATGTTGATTCAACCCAGGCAGCAGAGACAGGGTCTCCCACAACAGCAGTTGCCAAACTGCAACGCTTTCCAGAGCCAGCTGAGCAGAAGGCCCTGGGCTCATAAGCACTCCTCAGCTGCTCATAGCAGAACAGAGGCCGCAGGGAATTCTCCGCAAAACAAAAGCAATTGTACCATCTCCCAGCTCCAGGCCTAAAGCCTATTTAGGCCGTAAATCTTTCATAACTTCTCTCCCCAGCCAGAGGAGGTGAGGTTTCCCCATGTCCTCCCCACACATGTATGCGGTTACACAAATGGGCGTCCCGAGCACGGACAGCAAACCTGCTGTGAGAAATGCCATCATCCCCTCCACAGCTGGGTCCCTCGGCCACCACGATACCCCTGCGCTTAGAGAAGTCCTGATTCCTCTCAGCCCGATCAGGCCCCAAGTCTCAAGACCACCTTCTTCCGATGGCTGCAGGGCAAGTCTCAGGGGATCTGAACCCACAACAGCCAGAGGCCTTTCTGCTACATGAATAGCTCGGGGAGGCCCCCTCCGCTGCAGCAGCCTCAGCCACTGTCCACACAGGCAGGGTGCATTTTTTTGGCCAGTCAAGTCAGCAACAAGACCCGGGTCTGGTCCCCAGGTAGTCATGCGGCAGAGCCTACTCCCCGAAGGGCTGCCCAGCTGCCTGAAGCTTAGCAGAAGAAAATGAGCTGCAGGACAAAAAAAAAGAGACTGATTCAAGCCCCAGGGACAGGGTGTTCACTTTGAACTCTTCAGCTGAGGGCTGCATCTGGGAGGTAAATGGTGGCGGTGGCGGTGGCGGCGGGGGGCGGGGGGGTGGGGGGCTGTGTCCGCTCACAGAGTCCCCCAAGGCTGGGCCTTCCGGAAATTCACAGCAGGGACTGCCCGGTCCTAGGTGGAATGTTCTTGGTCCTGGGGATGTCCACCTGAGAAGCCAAGAGGCTGGCGTGGCCTCAGGTCACTGGCCTTCTCCTTGGGCAGTATCTCCCACCCCCAACCCCAGAGTGGCTGCCCAGCCAACTCTGACTTGCTTTCCAAGACGCATGCAAAATTAATCCAACTTGCAGAATGACTACCGGATGACCGCTAACGACGACCATGCCAACTGTTCGCGGGTCCTCCTCAACACGGGAGCGAGTCAGACATTATGGAGCTCCAGAGACTCGAGGACCAGACCACAGGCAGCCCCCACCAAGGTACCAGCTTCAGCATTTCCCTGACAGGTGCTCAGCATTGCAGAACCCCAGCGATTTTCACTGGACCATGTGGCAGAGTGGAAACCGACAGGGTGATGGAGAGCAAAATCTGGAATACTGCATGACCAGCTTTCGGGCCAAACTCGGGGTTCTCTTTCTCTCTGCAGGCAACTCCACAAACATCCACGTCCATCCTGTGGCCCAGATGTCCCGCGTGGACAGTGCCATCTCAGAGCAACTGAGTGAGCCGTGCAGAGTACGGAAGAGCGGGCTCCAGGCCCAGCGATTCCGAGTTTGAATGCCGGCTCTGCGATGTGCTCGTGCCTCAGTTGCCTCTTCTACACAGTGGGGGGTAATGCCACCTGCTACTGCTTGGGTTGTCAGGAGGACTACACGAGTTAATATCTGTGAGTACTTAAAACAGACTTGGTATAGGTAACACACCTCGCAGGTGTCTGCTCATTTTTTGAGCACTTTGTCCCCAGAATGAATAAGAAGCCTTCATAATAACATGGATACCTTGACACTTACCCACAGCTTCAGACATGGAGGCAATGGACCAAACCCTCTAACTGGATTACCATATTTAATTCTCAAAACCACCCAAAGAGGGGGCTTCTGTTAATGTACCCATTCTGCAAATGAAGGTCTTAAGGAATCACCAATGAGAGGTGCAGAGGGAATGTGACACCCGATCATTTGACTCCTCACCTTCAATGGCTAGCAGCATGAGAATTACCTAGGGTCTCCTTTGAGGAGTTCACTATGGGGCCACACCTCACACCAGGTAGAGAGCCCAAGTGCACCACGTTCTTGGGAGGTCCTCGGGGCAGAAAGAGACGCAAGGGGTCTAAGTAAGGGGCAGCCAGGGAATCTGGTGTGCCCAGGCTGGACCATGCAGGATGGCCCCCATGGACCGCACACAGACCCCAGGGCTTCCTGAGAAGGTGAGGTGTCCAGCCCTGGGCAACCACACCCTCTGATCGCTGCCTCTCTGAATGCGGCAACCGTCCAGCTAACTCCACAGACTACTGTTCTGGTCAGTTTTCCTTCTGCAGCCCTGCCATGTGGCATGCTACCATTAGGCTAACTACTATAAATCACCATTCCTCTAATTCTCAAAGCCGGCATTTCTTCAAAACAAACACAAAAAAATCCAACCAAAAATACTAATAAATGAAAATCAGTCCCTTAACTCTATACACATACTTAACAATTTGCATACAGAAATAAAGTCTGCTAAAAAATAATTACCAGAGTCTGAATACTTCAAACATGTATGCGAATTATTTTGAGTAAATGAACTTTGCAGAACAACACAACAGTAATAAATCAAGCTGTCGGTGTTCATTGAATCACCACGGTACATTCTGAGTCTGAAAAACAGCAACGTTGAGATTGAGAGGGGGTTAGGACGGTGAAGGGAGTGCGTGATTTCCCTTTAAATGTGGCCTCCCAGATGTGCTTTTCCAAGCAATCCCCAGGCCCATGGTGACAGTGGACAGGGCTGTGCAGTTCCATTTTCTAAAGGGAATGGTAACAGATCAGAATAATAAGTGGCATTTGAGAGGCCCTTTAATAAGACGCAGGGAAATTGCTCAGGGAAAGAGGTAGGGAGAGCGAGCTTAGTGTGAGTGATAACCGGGAGGAGGCCTAGACGCTTCCTTGTCAAGGGGTTAATGATTTCAGGAGCTTGTGCTCCAAGTTTCTCTCTCTCCCACCACAGGCTTGGCGACAGGATGAAGCACTGCCCGAGGGATGGCAGAGCCCCGGATCCCTGCACCTGCCCCGCTCCCCTCATGATGCCAGAGGATTTCTGTGGACCACACGAGGCTAGTGTCCCTGTCACAGAGCGCTCCCCCCCGGGTGCTTCACTTTACCTCTCCTGCCCGTTCCCCAACACCAATCAAGGGTCAACGGGCACAGACCACATGTCCAATTAATTCGCTTAATAACGTTTACAAAGAACTTTTTTCTAAGAAGAAAAGAGGAACAAATTAATTTGCAGAGAGATGTGGTAAGATGGAAAACACTGAACTCGAAAACAAATTCATTATAGGCTTCGTGTCATTTTTTTAAAAATTCATTTTAGTTTTTAAGCTCACTGCTTGGTCTCAATTAAGGTTGTGATATTTTAATTATCTTAATTGTTTCTAAACTTGTTTTCCAGTTCGAGTTACTTTTTAATGAGCTACATTGATTTTAAAATCCAGAGCCAAGCCTTTTCGCTGTCCGTAGGCACATCCTGAGAGCTCACGGGCAAAGGGCCGTAACCCCTGGGAGAGCGGAGCAGGAGACCTCCGCAGAGCCGCTGGGACGAGGGCATGTTCCATTTTGTGGGTTGGCCACAGAGTCCCCGAGAGTCACCTGGGGCACTGACACACACTTGGATTTATTTCATTAACACCTGCAGAGCCTCTGTTCTGTGCGGCTGGCGCCTCCAGAGGGAACAGGACCACATTCCTGCCCCCCAGGGGCTCACAGCTCTGAGGGAGGACAGGCAACAGGAGGTGAAGTTCAGTGTGTTAGGGGAGAAGGCGCGGGACCTCGCCTGGCCTCTCGGGGGGAGAGTGAGACTTCCTTGACAGACAGACATCTATGGAAAATGGGTTCAAGCCAGGTGATAGGATGAAGAACATTCCAGGTAGGAGGCACCTTTCTTCCCCAGAGAAACCGAGGCAAATCTGGGGAACTGAAGTGTCTCGCTGGGCTCCTGACAGGTTGGAGCAGGGGTGGTATGTGATACAATGGGAGAGGGTGGCATCACCAGGAAGGGCCTGGAAAGCACAGGGAGGACTCCAGAGAACCAGGGCCCTCCAAGTCCCCAGTGAGACGCACACGGCAGAGCCCGGTCACCTCTGGCACATCCTCTCACGCTGATGTCAGTGGAGAGGGGGTACACCTGTTTCAGCCAAAGTAGCACTTTGGTAAAAAGAAACAAGCTGCATACTCTCACCCTCCAAGTAAGAAGGGGTTTCAGGGTGGAGGTCTCTGCGGCCAGCTCTGAGAGCCCCCTTTCCTCCTATAAGGAACCTCCGGGAAAACGAAGGCACACAGGATTCTGGGAGGCAACAAGCCTAGCTGCTGAGTCAAACGAGCCAAGACATTGTCTAAAACAGCCACATGAACTTGTGGTCCAAGCCGGTAACTCCAGGAAACTTCCACAGACAAGAGGCCACTCAATTTACAAAAAGTTGACAAATTAATGAATGTTTGTTGTCTCCTTGTTGCTTTTAAGACTGCTCTCTGCCTGAGTCATGCTCAACCGCGGTTCATCTGAAGAGCAGACACTCCCGGGGATTCATTAGGAGTGACTTAATGGATGGATGACAAAGAAATTACTCCAAACTGCTAAAACCTCGTCAAGCTAAGATCCCAAACATTTATTACAGCTTGTCTGTCCCCATGGTAACTTGTGCATGCATCTTGCTTCCCTCTCCTCTCCGGAGGGGCTTGTTCACTAGCTGACGACAGAGCCTCACAGAATACAAAAAAGATTCCGCCCACAGAATTTTGCTGGAACCGGAGAAGAATGGTCTTTGGGAAGACCTCTGTCACCATTTTCAGTTTTCCATGCAAGGCACCGGCCATGTTCATCAGAGGCTGAACAAAGGGGCCCACGGGCTACGTGGCTAAGTCAGGCAGGCAGTGTAGAGGCGGCTGACCGTGTTTGCCCACGGACGGGGGGGATGGCAGCGGGCGGGGACACGGATAGATTAGGCCAAAGGCGCAGAAGATAAAAAGATGCATCTGACCAAAGGTACCCCTCCTGAGAAGAGAGATTTTCCTTCCCCTTCAAATCAAGAACCTGAGAACTCTCTTTTTCTGTGTTAAAACTAAAAGCATCCTCTCTCTTACACTGTGTGTGTGTGTGTGTTTGTGTGTGTGTGTATGTGTGTGTGTGGTGGGTGGTAGGGGTTAGGGTGGTACAAGCTGGTAACAGCCTTTTTTGGAGGACAATTAATTTGCCAAGTCCCTCAACGCTAACAATTGTTAAATAGAGGTGGATGGGTATATAGGAGTTTATTATATTACTCCCTCAACTTTTTGGTATATATGAAAATTTTAGTATTAAAAGGAAAGGAGAGAAAAAAGAAATATCCTATGAGCCAGCAAGTCAACACGTTAGGCAAACATGTACATCTTAATGATCTACGGCAAGGGAAAATCATCAACAACTTGAATGTGCATCTACTTTACCCTACTTGGGCTGCCTTAACAAAATACCCCAGCCTGGGTGACTTGGACAACAGGCTTTTATTTCTCACAGTTCTGGAGGCAGGGGAATCTGAGATCAAGTTGCCACCACGGTCAGTTTCTTGTGCGGGCTCTCGTCCTTACTTGCAGACTTGCGGATGGACGGGCACCTTCTCACTATGTCCTTATAAGGCTTTTTCCCCGTGCACACAGAGAGCAATCCAGGGAGCTCTG